CGGTATTCGCAGCATAGGATTGCGAATGACTCACTGGCGTCGAGCCGTTTAAGAACTTTAGTTCCGATTATAGCAAGTCAATATTACTTAAGTCTTATCAAAAATTTCCTTGTCGTTTAATGGATAAAGGGAATGCCACATTATACTAAAGCCAGCTTCTCGACATAAGCTATTATTCCATACGAACACAGATACATTGGCATACATTTTTTGTCATTTTGTTTTTTAACCGACTTCAAAAAAAAGAGATTATTAATTCGTCGGAATTTTCTTATTATGTGTGTTAGCGCATAACTTTTGACCACGTTAATCGATTTATATCATTTCTTCTTTAAAGGTTTGGTTTTTTGCTTAAAAATTACTTGTTTTTAAATCTGCTTTAAAATTTACAATTGTTTGTTTGTAAAAATTAGGTAAAAGACGTTATTTGACCAAATATATTAATCGATCTTGGGAGATCGATTTATTTTTTGCCGATTTCTTCAGCATCAATTATTTTTTTTGGATTCGAATCGATTCAAAAATGGATTTTTTTATTTCGATCTGGCGTCTCTTGAAGTAGAAATATTTCAAAGTGTATGAACTAAAGGTGCGCAGGGTAGTATTATATATTCTGACTAGGGAATCCAATCCCGCGTAAAAATCGCAATCCCACAAGCTTTCAAAGTGTATGAACTAAAGGTGCGCAGGGTAATATTATATATTCTGACTAGGGAATCCAATCCCGCGTAAAAATCGCAACCCCGCAAGCTTTAAAAGTGTATGAACTAAAGGTGCGCGGGGTAGTATTATATGTTCTGACTAGGGAATCCAATCCCTCGTAAAAAGCGCAATCCCGCAAGCTTGCGGGATCGACGTCATCAATCCCGTGGATCCACGGGATTTGCGGGTCCGAAAAAATATCATATTATTTCCTGTAAACCGTTATATTCAAAATTGATATGTAAAAAAGACGATTTGACTTAGAGAAGCTACGTATTTACTTTTAATTAGGTTGACTTTTTTAATAATATTTCCGAAGGAATGTTAAAGTCTTTAAAGTTTCATCGTGCACAATCAGGAACTACGAATAAAATACATTCCCACGACAGCCGGTTCTACGTACCGGAATGACTCGGGGGTTTACCCGACCAAGGACTGTTGTTTCGGCGATCTAACCCCGTTTAGGTCGGCGAAGTATCTCAGAAGTTTTTTGTCCATAGGGCTACATTCGCTACGTTTTCTCCTACTCAGGGCTGGCATCGAGTCAAACCCAGGGCCAGAAACCTACACATGCTGTGTATGCCAGAGACGACTACACCACAACTCCACCTCTGTCAAGTGCAATGCTTGCGAGGGGTGTAGTCACCTCAGAGTCTGCTCAGGACTACGGACACATCGGCAGTGGACCACGTCTTTTGTGGCCCCCTGCTGCTCTAACAGAGCAGCCTCCACGGCTATCCCCAGTCCACCTGAGCAGTCCCACACAAACACCACAGCACAACAACATAATAACACTACAGACCACACCACAACGGCTACAGACCACAGAACACACACAACCACACCACCACCCACACGCCGCCGCCAATAACTCCTGGTTCCTCCTACAATCTGCACGGTATGTCAGACCAGGATATTCCGTAATGTGACATCAGTCAAGTGCAACACCTGCCTTGGCTGGTGCGACTTTAGGGCATGCTCAGGTCTACGCACCACGCGAGATTCAACGAGGAACTTCGAAGGCCCGTGTTGCGCTGCTCGGTCGCAGACCTCAACTGCGACGGCTCCCGCCACCACCACAGGGCGGCAACCACCTTAGCAGCGCACATAGCCATCTGCGGCAGGACCACACACATCCCTCACACCCCGCATCACCACACGTCTCCCGAACCACATGAAGCTCCTTCAATTTAACTGTAACGGGCTTCAGAGCAAGATCGAGGAGATAACCGTCTTCATGGGAAGGCATGGCATATTGATAGCTGCGGTCCAAGAGACGAAGTTTCACAGCAATTCAACACTGTTGAATTGTGCCGGGTACTACGTGCACCGTCGAGATCGCGAGCGGGATAATGGTGGAGGCTTAGCGTTCATTACGCACCACACCGTGCAGTATCGTCTTATCGAAGCAGACATCGACCGCAGGGATACCACCCTAGAATGTCAGGGCATTGCTATCCGGTCAGGCGATGTTGAGCTTGAAATATTTAACGTTTATATACCCCCTGTCACCTGCTGCCCGGCAGGATACCACCCTGACATAGGTGCGCTCCTCAGAGGTGAAAACCATATGGTAGTAGGCGACTTTAATGCGCACCACGATCTTTGGCACTCAAGCCTGTCAAACGATCATAGGGGAACTGACTGGGCTGAGCAGATAGGCGATTCGACATTCTGCACAATGAACGACGACGCACCCACCAGGATTAGGGGCAGCTGCTGCAGCTCGCCAGACATAACAATAGTCAGCGCTGGTCTGATAAACAGAATATCATGGCGACCTATGCTGACTTTGGCATCAGACCACCTGCCCATAGTCATCTCGATCGGTAAACTAACCGACTTTGCTTCCGCAGAGCACCGAACTTATATTAACTTTTCTAAAGCTGATTGGAAAGGCTTCGCAGAATTTACTGAAAACACCTTCGCTACTCTCCCCACACCAACCGACGTCCACCTTGGTGAACGTAAGTTCCGCAGGGCTGTCACCGCTGCTGCAGCTCGCTTCGTACCGGCAGGATGTATCACCGACCCACGCCCAAATTTTCCTGCTGAAGCGGCTATTTTAGCCGATGAGCGTGACAGCCTTCGTCAGGCCGATCCCGGAGATCCCCATATCAGGGATCTCAACGCGGAGATTCGGGAACTAGTAAACGTACATAAGCGGAAGAAGTGGGAAGAGCATCTGAAGACCTGCAACTTCACCTGTGGTGTGAGTAAGCTTTGGTCAACCGTGAGGTCACTGTCCAATCCGACGAAGCACGACGACAGCGACCATGCTTCGTCGGACCCGGACCGATGCGCGAGCTGTTTTAGCCGGCAGTTCATACTGCATCCTCCGGTGGACAAAGCCAAGAGTCGAGTGACCAGAAGGCTGCACAAACTGCCAAAAACCTGTGCCCCCCTTGCTTTCACTTGCGGTCAAGTTCAGGTGGCAATCGGGAAGGCGAAAGCCTCCAAATCCATGGGTCCCGACGGAATATGCATGCTGATGCTGAAAAATTTTGGTCCTGCGGAGGTAGCGTACCTAACGGAGGTCCTCAATTTGGCCATGGCCACTCTCATCATCCCAGACATCTGGAAGATGGGGAGAGTGGTCCCACTGCTCAAACCGGGGAAACCTGCCAACATAGGAGATTCTTATCGTCCGATAACACTCCTTTCCCCGGTAGCGAAGACACTCGAGGCCTTGCTACTCCCGTATTTCAATAACCACTTGACCACAGCGAAGCATCAGCATGGTTTCCGTAAAGTGCACAGTACAACAACAGCACTTAACGCCATAAACACTCAGATAACTCGTGGCCTTAACTTAGAAAAATAAAACAGGGGTGGTCCTTTCCCCACTACTGTTTAACTTTTACATTTCAAAGCTCCCTCAACCACCAGAGGGAGTCTCGATTGTCTTTTACGCTGACGATTGCTCGATCATGGCGACAGGGAATGGAATTGATGACCTGTGTTCGAAAGTAAACGGATATCTCTCTGAACTTTCTCGCTTTCTCGGTCCTCAAGTCGCTAGCCGGCAGTACTTGGGGCAAAGACAAAGAAACGTTGCTGGCAACATTCAAGGCAATAGGCCGGCCGGTTTTAAACTACACAGCACCAGTGTGGTCGCCGGGGACTAGTAGGACGCAGTGGACGAAGCTACAGACGGTACAAAATACAGCACTTAGGACAGCGACCGGATGCCTCCTGATGTCACCAGAACACCACCTCCACGATGAGGCAAAAATGCTCCCAATTAGGGAGCACAACACTCAAGACCTGTGAATGCCGTTCTAGGCACACAAACACCGGACATTGACGCGACGGAGCTCCATCTGCCTCGGGAGACCAGAACAACAATAGCCCAACTTCGCTCTGGCTACTGCAGCAGGCTAAATTCCTACCTGAGTAGGTTAAATGCGGATGTGCCGAACGAATATCCGGGATGCGGAGAGACCCCTCACGACTAGAAACATCTCTTCGCATGCCCGGAAAACCCCACAACCCTAACGGCGTCGTCCCTATGGACCGACCCCATAGAGGCTGCACGCTTCTGGGGCTGCCGTTAGTGGAACTCGACGACAACGACTGAGATATCAGCCGATCTGGGCGGGGTTGTAGCCGCTACAACAACAACAACAACGAATATATATATGAAACAATACCCGCTCGCTGTAATCCCAAAACTAGCTAAACAGTGATTCTGTATTATTTAAATTTATATAAGTTATCCTGTTCCGTTTCCGTCGAAAATGGCGTTGAAGTAATATATTCTTAGAGCTGAATGTGGGTCTCTAATAGAACCAGAGTTATGAGTATTAGAAATTTAGCATCTGAACGAAAGCTCAAGCAAAAAATAAATAAATAAAGGAAAGCTAATAAAACCAGCGGTCGCTGAACACGAATCTGAAGTCGGTTTCGCTCCATCACGTCAAGATTTGTTTCTCACCTCAAAACACATTGCGAAAGTCTCCCCCATCGTAGCCTGTGCTGTCGTTTTTTTTTGTTTGAACACATGATTTCCCATGAAGGGCTGAAAATGCTTCCCTGCAGAAGGGCTTACACATTTACAGTTTACAATTAGCATTACAAATGAATTTCAATATCCATTTTAAGTTGCAATAACACAAATGTATTTATTTGATATAATCCTTAAGCAAATACTTTAAAGATGCAAGAACTTTATAAATTAAAGAAGCAACTTTGAATGAACTCCTCCAAGAGGCCTTCTGAAGTACGTCCTATAAAAGCCTTTTTTTACGATATTGTAATATCTCTTGCTCTAATTTTGTAAACTTTTGTTCTTTTAGGTTCATAAAATTTGCCAAAATGCTCCAAGTATTCATTCCCGACTTTTCCACGCGTCCCGTTGCAAAGATTCCAAAGTTGCAATGTCAAAATTCGATGCTGATGTTTACTTGCCTTATAAGAAGCTTACTAACACTTTAAATATTGTATCCGGTCGTCTAAATCGTCCCTTGACGCTTTCTGAGAAAATATTGTACTCTCATTTAGATGACCCCAAAAATCAGGACATTGTGCGCGGGACATCATACTTACGTCTTCGACCAGATCGTGTAGCTATGCAAGATGCTACTGCTCAAATGGCGCTTTTGCAGTTTATATCTTCGGGCTTAAAAAGAGTTGCAGTGCCCTCTACCGTGCATTGCGACCATTTAATTGAAGCACAAATTGGTGGAAAGCAGGATTTAGCTAGAGCAAAAGACCTCAATCAGGAAGTATACAAATTTTTGGCTTCAGCATGCGCTAAATACGGTCTGGGCTTTTGGAAGCCGGGCAGTGGAATTATTCATCAAATCATTTTAGAAAACTACGCATTTCCTGGACTATTAATGATCGGCACTGATTCGCACACGCCGAATGGAGGGGGACTTGGCGGTCTGTGTATAGGGGTAGGAGGTGCAGACGCCGTTGATGTAATGGCTGATATTGCTTGGGAACTTAAGTGTCCTAAGGTGATTGGAGTTAATCTAACAGGAAAGATTAGCGGCTGGACGTCTCCTAAAGATGTTATTTTAAAGGTACGTAGAAGTATTAACATGTTATTTGTTGAATTTTTTAATTTTCGTACACACTTTGAAATTCGGATTTAGGTATTTGTTATGTAACAGGGGCTAAACTTTTATAAAGAAATTAATGAACATTAAAAACAAACAAAAGAAAAATAATCAAAACTCGAAAAATGTCGCACTCCTATTATTTTGTTGGCCACTGTACATACGGCCAGAATTTTTCATGCATGAGCACCGAAATATCAACATTTATGATATTTTTTCACAGACATAAACGAATAGCACGGAAATTTCTACCCGACCAGCATTTTCTGATATTATTGATCATATACGAGTCTTTTTTGAGTCTTCTACACGATTAAAACAATTATAAATGTGCTCATATTCTGATCATAAACAACTCTTTTGTCGGTCGGCCCGCGACTCTTCTTGACGAGTTTTTTATTACCAACATTTCTGATCAGTTTTGACTCTTTTTCGAGTCGTATTTATATTCATACATATAGCTAATTAAGCCAGCAACATTTTGATCAATTTTGGCTATATGCTATAATGTTTATTATTTTTCCATAAAAGTCTAGCTCATTATATAACAAACACCACATAAATCCAGATTTGAAACTTTGTGCAAAAATTATGAAAAATCTGCAAAATTTCAGCTAGATTTTCAAATTTTTTGAGTATGCAGTTTAATAGCCCATTAAATTCTAGGGTAATAATGTGCAAGTCTTAAGTTGCTAAAAAATCGCGTTGGTTTTTCATAAAAAAAATTGTCGAATTTATTTTGTATGGGGAAAAAATGTAATTTGTTAGCAACTTAATACTTGCACATTATTACCCTAGAATTTAATAGGTTATTAAACTGCATACTCATACAAATCTAAAAAATCTGAATAAAAAGTTGAAAATTTAGCTGAAACTTTGCAGATTTTTCATAATTTTTGCACAAAGTTTGAAATCTGGATTTGTATGGTGTTTGTTATATAATGAGCTAGACTTTTATGGAAAATAATAAACATTAAATAAACGAAAGCAAAATAGCCAAAATCTATCAAAATGTTCCTGGCGTAATTAGCTGATCACAAGTGTATGTATGTAAAATCAATAGCATAGTCATGAAGAAAAATTGGGCTTTTGGAAAACTAGGCGTGGCAGCTCCTATACAAACCAAACTTTTCATACTGCATATCTCTGGAAGAGTTCAAGTAAGAGTACTGGAACTTGAAGAAAAACTGGGGCTATTGGGAAGAGGGCGTGGTACCTCCCATACAAACCGAATTTTTCATACTGCATATCTCTGGAAATATTCATGGTAGAGTACTAACTAGAACTTGATATATGAAATCAATCCCATACTATTACAGAAAATTGGCGCTGTTTGAAAAGGGGGCATGGCGCCTTTCAAACATACTGAAACTATAACGTATCTTGGTATGTGCTTTTGAATTGAATATGGCAAATATCTAAGTTGAAAAATATGATTATTATGTCATACTACTACATACATTGCAATTTTCTTACACCACGGCTCGACTTTTATTGTTAAAATTTTACAGCAAATTATGAAAAATTATGCTATTAGAAGCAAAGGCAGCTTGAAACAAATGTTTTTTTTATTTTTTTTTTTATTTTGTTAAATAGAAAAGGAAACAATCACATTTCAATCTCCAGCATGACGGTTGCCCTATATTTTGGTTTTATATTTTCAATAAAGCACTTTTCAAGCTTAAGGGTGAGTCATTTCGAGTCTTTTTATTCGCGGAAGTGATTGATTAGTTTTTAATCATCAAAGGCGATCGAAGAAGACTCAGTTAGGCGATTTTAATTAAAGCGTGGCAACGCCGCGTCGCTACATGTCAATAGACAGTAAAATCTGTCAAGTCAATGTGGCATTGGATTTCGGTTTTTGCCTTTTTTGTTTCTTTCTGGACAAACGTCGTCACGTGAAGATAAAACCGAATGTAGTTCTTTAAGCATCTACGTTTATAATATTAATTTTCTCTAATAAATATTAATAAAAGTGAGAGCCCATCAGCTCTATAATTGGTGACCCCGACAAAGAACCACAAACTGCAGAAGATGGGGTCGGCCATCGAGGATAGCAAGGCAGAAGACCATCCGCAAATGGCAGCCACACCTCCAACCGCTCTCAGCCACGAAATAGTTGCAAACGAGGAAATTGTCAACATCTCCGTAAAGCTACCCCCATTCTGGCACGCAAATCCTAACTTGTGGTTAGCTCAAGTCGAGTCTCACTTCATCGCCGCACGCATCAGACACGATGCAACGAAGTACCACGCTGTGATTGCCGCCATCGAGAGCAATGTGCTGGCGCAAATCAGCGATATCTTTTTAAACCCTCCTACCACCGACATGTACGCATTTTAGAGCGCTTCGGAGAGTCCGAATAACGGCGAATAAAAAAGTTGCTATAAGAGCTAGAGCTCGGCGACATGCGTCCATCGCAACTCCTCAGGGAGATGGAAATTCTGGGAGGTAACTGCGCCATTAGCGCAGATAAGGGGTGGGTTTTGGTTCGAAATATTAAAAAATTTGGCAATCGTGAAAAATCACCATCTCCATCGAAAACCAGAAACGAGAAATCGAGGAAAATTATTATTAAAACTCTTTTTTAACATTTTCTATTACTTTGTACGTTTATTTTGAGCTTCAGGCCGGCTATTAAATAAAACCTAAATTTTAGTAGTTTTATTTATTACATTTATTGGTGTCGATATTTCGCCTTCAGTCTGAAGGCTTCTTCAGGACTGAAAAACACAAAATACATACATATTTACGTCAAATTACATGAAAACTTCCATCAGACCGCAACTTACATTATGGTGTTAGTAAATATTAACAAAAAAGCTCGAAAAAACACTTAAACATAAACAAGAGAATGTAAGCAAAACGAAATACCGTAAAAGTAAACAAAAATATACAAACAACAATACATGAAGTGGTGGACAGTAGGACGGAGAGAATCTGTATGTAAATCATCATGGCATTGCATTGTTGTTGTCGGACGGAGTACTGGTGGTGGACCGACGTACAATAACATGAACACATGACACCTAGGATATTGGTTTTTGTGCGTGAGAATTAAATTCTGATAGACATGAGTGCAATTGTCTGTGTCCATTTTAAAATTCATCCTTCTATTATTAGGGGTGTTCATGATATGTATCATCTCTAGAATATAACGTTTATTGTAATTTCTCTCTACCTGTAAGATTGCTACGTTGTCAAAGTCGGGATAATGTCCCATATTTTGGCAGTGAGATGATAAGGCTGTCCTATTATCCATATAATTATTCCTTAATTTTATGTTAGATTTATGTGCGGAAATCCTTGTCTTCCATTTAGATATGTTTGTCCCCACATATACCATATCGCATACGTGGGATCCGTAACCATTGCAGAGTATTCTGTAAACTACGTTAGATTTCTCTTTTTTAGGAATTTTGTCTTTGGTGTTGGTGTATATTTATTTTAAAGTATTGTCATACGTGAACGCTATGTGGAGTTTTTCCCTGTCTTAACATTTTAGAGTGCTTAATCCTCTCTGATTTATCTTTATTGGTCTTGACATAGTAATCGCGGATGAGTTTATTAGTTAAGGCATGATGAAATTCGGTTTTCTCCAGGATTTCTTTGATAATGCCAATATTTTTCTTGTGGTATATCTTATCACTTATGGTGAGTACTCTTCGTATAAAGTTGGTAGCCGTATTCAGAATTGTTCTCCTTGTTGCTTTGCCTGCTTCGTCCCGCTTAAGGCAGTTTGGTACATTTGATACACAACGAACACACACGCAAACAGCAATTTTTTGAAAGAGTATCACTTTTGTTTCACAAATTTGTGTTATATTAGAAAATAACTACCTATTTTTTTTAATGCAGAACGTAAGTAATCATTTCAAAGTTTAACTGCAAAGAAGAAATATTTAAATCGATTTTTTCGCTTTTCATTTATACCAGTTTCAAAAACGATTTCATGATTTTCTACTAAATTTTGGTATACTGACGCGCCCTATAGGAACCTATAACTCCAAATAATGTTGAAATTATCCTTCCTAGATAGCTAAGCTTTAAAATGCAAAAAACCATTTTCAAATCGGTGCACTCTGTGCGAAGTTATTACATTACATATGGGTCATTCCATACAATATTTACACCTCAATATTTTTTTTGGGAGAAATATATATTTTTACATTCTTTATCGAAAAAGGAAGACACCTATTATTTAATTTCGTCATGATCTTCGAAAATCTCGAAAAAAAATTCCCGAAATTTGAACTCACGGAGAAGTATCTTTTTTCAATTGTTTGCAGTTAATAAACTAAGTTAATAAGTTAAGGTATCAAAATGTCCGTAATTACCACGGCTTTTCATGAGAGTGTGAGATAGATTAAAATAAAAAAAAATGTTGCATTAAAAAATCCCCCCTGGTGCGAAATAAAGTCAATTAACATTATTACCTTTTTAAAAACGAAATAAAATCAATTGACATTATTTCTCTTTCAAACATTAAATTTGCTTAGCTTCGCGGCGGCCCGCGTTAGCGCGTCCGGCGCGCACACCACGTCACGCTGGCAGCCCTGATTGGAAGATTTCTGCTGTGTTTTGAGGCAACAACTTGTCTGCAGTAAAAAAGCATATAATTTGTGTTTCAAAAGTGTGTGAAAACCAATCAATTAACTTATATGATCTCGGTTCCGATTTAAATAATCAATAATTGTTTATACCTGCATTTTGGCACATTGGCTCGTTGAATGTTCCATCTAATAAATAGTGTCGTCGTTCTCCTTAGCTGCTTTTAAATGATGTCGTCACAAATTTCTGGCGGAGACATGAATACAGTGTAAGAAAATTCTTTTTCTATAATTGTTTCCTTATAGAAAGGTTGGTTTCTTTTCCACCTTAGATATTCCGAATTCGTTCAAAATATACTAATTTAAAACACAGAATTCTTTGAGTGTTCCTCCGGGGTTTTTGGATATGGACTG